GCCACTAAAGAAGGGAGCCCCACACGTTGGGCTCGCTGAAGCTTCTCCAGGCCTCAAGCTGAAGGAGCCCCCAAGACGCCTCCCGACTCGAAGGTCCCGAGCGCCCAGAGCTGGCCTCGGCGGACGGCGAGCAGGCTGAAGGAGCCGGCGCTGCCAGGTAAGCTGCGCGAGGACAGGGTGCGCGGACGCGCGGGGAAGGAGCGCTCGGGGCCGCGGGGCCGCGGGCACCCCGCCAGGAGCCATAGCGGGCCCAGGGTTCCTGGTCGTTCCCCCGGTACTTGAGGTCCCAGTTTGATTCTCTGAGAATGCCGGGGAGCCTCCTAAGGGAGCTCTCACACGGGTGATGTTTATCATTCCTAGTTCATCGCACGTTTCTTGCCTTTAAACAAAGTTTTACAGAATTTAAAATTCTCACTGCCGCCTCCTTAGGTCCGTGTCCGACCCTGAGTGGAAAGCACGGGCCAGACTGAAACAGGTGCTGGGAGCTGGGGATGGGGGATGGGGGAGGGGGGGGCGGCGTCCAGAACAGAATCCAGGTGTTTTGCTTTTAAGACTTAGAAGAGTCTGGACAGCAGGTGCTTTCCTGCTGTAATCACCTGTCTGTTTTCTTGGGCCTCCATTCCTTTGAGGACTTGGGAGAGCTGTCAGATTTAGTTCTGTTTGAAACATAAAAATATAAACGAGTTAACCTCATGACAGTATGATCAGAACTTCAGGAATCTGTTTTAATCCGCCCCCTATAAGACTAATATCCTCTGATAAATGAGAGGTTTAGAAATAGGGTTCAGTTTTTCAGCCGGAAATGAAACACTGGGGGCCTTGTGAGCAGGGCATGGGGGGCAGTGAGGTTGCTCTCTACCAGGACCCTCAGATGGTGATATGGTTGTAAATGGAACACAATAATTGGCTTGATTAAACATTTATAGGACACCTACTGTATGCCAGGCCCTGTGCACAAGTCAATTCCTTGCCTGCAGAAGCTTACTGGTATAGAGGGGACTAGAATAATTCTATAGGTAAATGGACTATGTCAATACAGGGTGGTCAGTGGTGAGTTAGGAGTATGCACAGGCTCTTAGGAGCCCAGAGGAACAGGAACTCTCCTGGCCTAGGATTGAGGGAGCAGGAAAGATGAGGATGACACATGAGCTATGAGCTGAAGATTAAGAGAAGAGGCAAGTTAAATGCAAAGCTGACCTTGCCCCAGCCCTGCCTAAAACCCTGCGGTGGCCTCTGCCTGCCCAGAAGGGAAAGACCAAGCTCCCAAACAGGGCAGGAGCCTTCCAAATCCTGGCCCCTTTCTCTCCACCTCAGCTCACCTGCTTCCCATGCCCAGAGTTCTCCAGTCTTACTCTTTTGACCTATTGTTTCTCAAAGAGTGTTCCTAACTTGACCCTAGATCAGAATTTCTTAGGGAATTTGTGCAAAATGTGGCTCCCAGGCCCCATTCCCAGAAATTTAAATTGGTAGGTCTAGAGAGGGACTCCGAAATAGCCATTGTAACAAGCCCCTCAGGTGATTTTTATACATGTTAGAGTTTGAGACACTCCTAGACCTTTCAAAAACAGTCAATTAAAATCATCCTGGGGATGAGCGTGGGGGAAATGGGGGGGGGAGGTTGTGTGTGTGCGGGAATGACCTTTTGACCTTCACTGGGGTGTCTACTGCAAGGAGAAGCCAGCACACTTAATTTATTAATAGATTCAAGATCTAATTGTATAAAAGTGTCTGCTCTGCGTTTTAGGGAATTGAAGATGTTGGCATTTTTCTAAACACATAAATAGTTGAATTTGTTGGGCTTGGACTATGACATTAGAAAAATTTAAGTTTTCTTTGTTGCTATTCTTGGCTGGCCATTGTGTGGCTTTTTTTTTTTTTCCCCAAATGACATACTGTTTGTCTATTTACATGAAAATTTGATTTCATTGCTTTGAGTGAATTTGGCCTCTTGAGGCTTAGAAGAACATCTTGAGGTGTTTCCTCGGGAAGGGGTTGTATTGATGATACACGCTGTTAAAAGTCCTCCCTCATAGATCAGCTGCAAGGGCAGGGGTAGGGGAGGAAGACCACTCTTTATAGGGAGGGCAAGGACATTTGTTTTAGGAGTGCTTGGGAATAATTATTCCTAAGTCTGGTTTAGTTAGATTTCATCTTGGTGGTGTTCAGACAAGTTCATTTGCTCAACCTTGCTTAGAAGGAAGGGTTTATTTTTAGTTTGGGGGGTTCTTAGTTTTCGGAGTCAAATTATAAACCACCACTACCACCCTCTTACCAAGAATCCTTTATTCCAACATCTTTTTCTTCTCGTGAATAGGAGAATAACAGAAAAAAAGAAACATGTCTGATGCTACTAAGCTATGTCATCAGGCATGTTCTCAGTCTGTGTGGAACTGACTGGACCATTAGGTTAGGCAAATGGAATAAGCATTCTTTGTCCTTCTTCTCTTACTACGTACGGTGAGAAAAATAACCAGAAGGTGGCTGGTTGGGAAAAACGTCAAAGCAGAAGCAGGGTAATTTGCTCTCGTCCTACCTGCCACACCAAGGCAGAGGCGGCAACAGGTCATTGGAAGGCCTGGGACCAGAGAGGTGGGTTGTGAAAGACAGAAATCTGAACAGGCCCCGGGTAGGGAGAGAACAGAGTCACAGCACACGGGGCGGTGAGGACCCCGAAACAACCAGGGGGAGAGGCACCTGTGCAAGGCAGGGGAGGGCAGCTGGAGTCAGTCTCAGGTTCAAGAACCAGGACACCTGAGTCTGAAGAGGACAGAGGGCCAGTGATCAGATAAACACCGTGGGCCCATGACGACTGAACTGATGGTGCCCAGTGGCTTCCTTTGGAAATCCCAGGAGAGGACAGTTGGAGGTTGCTGGTTTGGGGCATTGAGAACACCTGGCTAGGGTGGGAATCTCCTGGCAGGGAGAACACAGGTTCTGGTGTGAGTTAGCCTGATAACCTTTAATCCCTATGCCCCAAACACTCAAGATTTCGTACTTCTACCAAGAATAGTGACCATGCTTAAGACATGGGGTTGCTGCTGCTATCGTTTTGAATCAGGCTGCAGAAACCATATTGCTGTGTTTTGTGATTTAGGAAGTACTTTCCCATCTGCTCTGATGGTCTCCTCCCAGCGTTCTGGAGTGTTGGAGCAATTTCTGCTCTGTGCTAGTCTACTCCAGGACTGCAGAGTTCTAGTGGTAATTACTGCATGGCATTCAGGATGCCTCAGAACCTGGCCCCAGCCTTCCCTCAGACTCCGTCCGAAGCCACTTCCCCTGCCCGCCCCTCCAGTCTCCTCACAGGCTCTTGTTCAAACCTTGTCCTCTCTCAGAATGGCTCTTGCCTTCTCCTGCCTCAGGGCCACAGGTCATGTCGTTTTATGGGCACGAAACACCATCCCTTCCCTTTTATTTCTGTCAAAGTCTTACTCATACTTCAAAGCCCAATCCAAATATTCTCTTTTCTGTGAAGCCTACCTCAGCTTTCCACGCTGGAATGAGCAGCTCCCTCCCAGGTCCTCCCACTGCGCTGGGTTTGCATTGATATTCCCGCACTCAACACAGGCTGACCTGATTAGAGTTTTGTATGTTCTCTGCTGGATTGTGAGTTCTTGAGTGTTAACATACATCTCTTCATGCCAGGCACTTTCTACTTGCTTTACAAATACCAACTCACTGAATCCTTATAATAACCCCAGGAGGTACTATTATTAGCCACATTTTATGGAAGAAACTGTGGTGTAGAGCTTGGGTACTTTGCCAAGGTCACACAGCCAGTAAGTGGCACACCCAATATTTGAACCTAGTTAGTCTGGTTCCTACCTGTCCTCTTAACCACTAGATTATACAACTTTTTATTTCTGTCACGGTCCTTTAGTGCTTGGCACAATTTATATTTCTGTCACAGTCCTTCAGTGCTTGGCGCAGTGATTTGCACGTGGGAGATCAATAATTGCTCATTGACCAAAAGTTAATCACCACTGGCAGGAGTTAGGGAGCAGGAGAGGGAGGCTTAGAGGAAGCCCTGGCTATTCAAGGAGCCACAGTGATGGGAATGTTCTGAAGCTTGGCCAGTGACAGTCACATGAACCTACACCTGGGATACAATTTCCTAGAACTGGGTATATACATATACACACACAGGTAAATGTGTGTGAAACTGGGGACATCTGAGTAAGGTCTGTGGCTAGCACCAATGTCTGTCTCCCGGCGTGATCGTGTGTTATGGTGACGTACAAGGGTACCATTGGGGGGAATATGGGTGATGTGTGCGTGGGATCTCTCTGTACCATTTCTTACAACTGTGTGAATATACAGTTATCTCAAAAAAATTTTTTATTGTTGATCCCAGAGTTCTGATCACAAATTCAGTTCTCCTGGACTTAGTTACATTAAATTCACATTAAGTAATAATATTTTGTGTGTAGTAGCACTCTAACTATAACCTTTTGTTGACAGCAATTTTAAAACATTTAGATTTAAATTATATCTATTGGATAAATTGTATCTATTTTTTTCACAGGGCTGTGGATAGGAAAGCAGAGGAATTTATGTCTAACTTGTTTTAAAAAGTAAAACAGTAGGGATGCCTGGCTGGCTCAGTCTGTAGAACATGCAACTCTTGATCTCAGGGTCATGAGTCCAAGCCTCCACTGGGCATGGAGCCTACTTAAAATAAATTTTGTCTTATTTTTTTTTTTAAGTGGGCTCCATGCTCCCACTGAGCCACCCCGATGCCTCTACTTAAAATGAATTTTTAAAAAAGTAAAACAATAGCAATGTCTCTGTTCATAATAGGAATGCAAATTTATTAGGAAAATATTGGTAAATACTGAAGGATTAGAAAAGGAAAAACAATTTGCTGTTAAATAACAACCTCAGTTATTAAGTCTGTATAGTTCCTCAGAGCATGTTTATTGTGTTTTACATATGTTCTCCAGGATTGTAATTCTCCTATATAATTTTGAGTCTTTTCTTCCCTTAGTCACACAGTTCCATAATGTTTCAGGCTTCAGAATTTATTGAGTGATACTGCAATTCACTCTCCACCTATTGGAAAAAACTTAAAGCCTTACATTTTTCAAAACTAAGAACAAATTTGAAATAAAACTTCTAATTTTTTCTCTTACAGACTTTTTTTTTTTTTTAAATCTCTTTCAGTTAGTGATTGATCTATATGGTCCATGGTTTTTACAGTCCCAAGCCCATGAGGAGCTGCCAAGTTGTTCATTGCGCAGAAATAGGCAGCCAGGCTGACAAGTGTTGGGCTAAAGTGTTGATCATCAGGGAGGAGTCAGGGAGTCTGAGGTCATAAACCTGACAGGCCAGCAGGGCAGCTTTTATGAGAGTAAGAGTCCCTGAACACAGTGTTTTCTTCGTTTGGTATTTTCCACCTCTGCCAGTGACTTGACCAATTTTTCTGGTGTTCCGGTCTGGGTCGGTGCCCCCTGGGAAAAAGTGCTCTACCAGGAGGCCTTAGTGTGTAGGAAGAGAGCTCAGTCTTCTGGCCAGAGTGTGGTGGTCCTTACGGTTCTACTGGTCCTTCCAGGACATGGACTTGTGTCCTCCTGGGCTTTGAAGCCTTCCTTGTCCCCCACGACCGAGGTACCCTCCAGGTCTGGTGAATGGTGTGAAAAGTGAGGTCATGTCATGGTCAGCAGGCTCCTCTTCCCTATGGCGACTCCTAATTTTTAGGTTGATTAACATTAGGGGGACAGTTCTAAGGCTTTGGGATTGCAGATGACCTGCCCTTGTCTTTAAATGCCTCCTTGTGCTTGATATCAATCAAGCAAGATCACTAGTGTGGGTTAGAAGCTGGGAGAGGCTTCCTTTGCATGGAAGGGCAAATGGGGAAATACTAGGCTCCCATATAGTGAGGTAGAGAAGTGAAATGATAGGAGCTGAGATTGATTACCCGAGAAATAATTAGGCCTGCAAAACCTGTCATTCAGTTTGTTGGAAAGACCAGGGAGCAGTAGAACCAGATAGGCTGCTAGACCCAGTCTCAGTTTGCAAAAGGCTTCTGTCTCTATCTCCCAAACTGGGTGCTGCATGGGCTCTTAACTTGGTGCAAGGGAGTATGCGCTTTGGGTGCCTAGAGTTTAGGCAGGCTGCCAGAGCAGGCCCAGGGGGAGGGAAAAAGAGCAACAGAGATGGGAAAAACCATATGTGGAAATAAAGATGAACTAGACGTTGTTACGTACATCTTGAGTCCAGGGATCTAATTTCTGATCTGACCTCTTAGAGATTCTGCTCCAAGGCCCGACTGCTGGCTTCTCCATCGATTTGGGCTCATGGGCCAGGACAAACACTGAGGCCTCTCAGACTTCTCAAACTAAACTCCTGATTCCCACCACACAACTTGGGACACCCCCAGTCCTCTCTATTTTTGTATCACCACCCTGTTGGAATCACCCTTGATTTCCCTGCCTCCCTCCCAGCTGATGTATAAACTGTCAAAATACCTCCACAATGCATCTCCAGCTCTTTGCATGTCCAGGTCATCACCACTGTGGTCCAGGCTCCGATCCTCCCCTGCCTGTCCCTAAGCGACAGCTCCCTAGCCTTGTCTCCTTGTTTCCTCTCCTGTTGGGCTGTCATCCATTCCTTCACAGGCTTGCACAATAGTCTGAAAATGTACACTAAGCCACGTGTCACTCTTCTATTGATATGCTGGAATGACTTCCCACTAGACTTGGAGGAAAATGCAAACTTCTTTTTTTTTTTTTTAAGATTTTATTTATTTATTTGAGAGAAAGAATGAGACAGAGAGAGAGAGCACGAGATGGGGGAGGGTCAGAGGGAGAAGCAGGCTCCCCGCCGAGCAGGGAGCCCGATGTGGGACTCGATCCCAGGACTCCAGGATCATGACCTGAGCCGAAGGCAGTCGCTTAACCAACTGAGCCACCCAGACGCCCCGGAAAATGCAAACTTCTTACGATAGCCCTGCACGACCCACTCCAGCGGCTCCAACTGAATCTCGGGTGACTGCTCTTGTCCTTCCAGCACCTTGAACATATTCAAGTTTTTCCTGTCCCGGGGTCTTACATACGCTGTTCCCATGCTTGGAAACTGCGGTCTTCATTCTCGTTGTGCCTGGTTCCTCCTCAGATCTTAGCTTGAATGTTCTCCCTCACTGAGGGCTCCTTGGCCATACTGTCTACTTAACACCTGCCTCCTAATATTTTCTCTTTGTTTCCATTTCAACTCTTTTTGAATTTGACTAAGTTTTTAATTTTAATTCCAGTATAGTTAACATCCAGTGTTATATTAGTTTCAGGTGTACAAGAGAGTGCTTCAACACTTCCATACAACACCCACTGCTCATCACAACAAGTGTACTCCTTAATCCCCATTGCCTATTTCCCCCAGAGGGAGGGGGTGTAACCATCAGTGTGTTCTCTGTAGTTAAGAGTGTGTTTTTTAGTTTGTCTCTCTCTCTTTTTCCCTTTGCTCCTTTGTTTCTTAAATTTCACTTATGAGTGAAATCATATGGTATTTGTCTTTGACAAATTTTACTATTCTAGTTCTGTGAAAAATGCTATTGGTATTTTGATAGGGATTGCATTAAATGTGTAGATTGCTTTGGGTAATATATACATTTTAACAATATTTGTTCTACCAGTCTTTGAGCATGGAGGGTCTTTCCATTTCTTTGTGTCATCTTCAGTTTCTTTCATCAGTGTTTTATAGTTTTCAGAGTACAGATCTTTCACCTCTTTGGCTAGGTTTATTCCTAAATATTTTATTATTTTTAGTATAATTGTAAATGAGATTGTTTTCTTAATTTCACCTTCTGCTGCTTCATTATTAGTGTGTATGAATGCAACAGACTTCTGTACATTGATTTTGTACCCTGCGACTTTACCAAATTCATTTATCAGCTCTAGTAGTTTTTTGGTGGAGTCTTTAGGGTTTTCTGTAGATAATATCATGTCATCTGCAAATAGTGAGAGTTTTACTTCTTCCTTACCAATTTGGATGCCTTTTATTTCTTGCCTGATTGCTGAGGCTAGGACTTCTAGTACTATGTTGAATAAAAGTGGTGAGAGTGGACATCCTTGTCTTTTTCCTGACGTTAGAGGAAAAGCTCTCAGTTTTCCCCATTGAGTATGTTAGCTATGGGTTTTTCATATAAGGCCTTTATTATGTTGAGGTATGTTCCCTCTAAACCCACTTTGTTGAGGGTTTTTATCATGAATGGATGTTGTACTTTATCAAATGTTTTTTTCTGCAAATATTGAAATGATCATATGGTTGTTACCCTTTCTCTTATTGATGTGATGTATCATGTTGATTGATTTGTGAATATTGAATAACCCTTGCATCCTGGGAATAAATCCTACTTGATTGTGGTGAATGATTTCTTTTAATGTATTATTGGATTCAGTTTGCTAGTATTTTGTTGAGGATTTTTGTGTCTATCTTCATCAGAGATATTGGCAGGTAGTTCTCTTTTTTTGTGGTGGCTCTATCTGGTTTTGGTATCAGGGTTATACTGGCCTCAAAGAATGAATTTGGACATTTTCCTTCCTCTTCTATTTTTTGGAATAGTTTGAGAAGAATAGGTATTAGTTCTTCTTTAAATGTTTGGTAGAAATTTGCCTGTGAAGCCTTCTGGTCCTGGACTTCTGTTTGTTGGGGGTTTTTTGATTACTGATTCAATCTCATTGCCTGTAATTGGTCTGTTCAAATTTTCTATTTCTTCCTGCTTCAGTTTTGGTAGGTTATATGTTTCTAAGAATTTATCCATTTCTTCTAGGTTGCCCAATTTGTTGACATATAGTTTTTCATAATATTCTTATACAGTTGTTTGTCTTTCTGTGGTGTTGGTTGTTACTTGTCTTCTTCCGTTTGTGATTTTGTTTGTTATTTGGGTCATCTTTTTTTTTTTTTTTTTTATGAATCTGGCTAAAGTTTTATCAATGTTGTTGATCTTTTCAAAAAAAACAGCTTCTGGTTTCATTGATCTGTTCTATTGCTTTTTGAGTTTCTATATCATGTATTTCTGCTCTAATCTTTATTATTTCCTTCCTTCTGCTGGTTTTGGGTTTTGTTTGTTCTTCTTTTTCTAGCTCCTTTAGGTGTAAGATTAGGTTCTTTATTTGAGATTTTTCTTGCTTCTTGAGACAGGCCTGTATTGTCATAAACTTCCCTCTTCAAACCGCTTTTGCAGCATCCTAAAGATTTTGGATCACCATGTTTTCATTTTCTTTTGTTTCCATGTAGTCTTTGATTTCTCCTTTGATTTCCTGGTTGACCCATTTATTGTTTAGCAGCATGTTATTTCACCTCTATGTATTTGTTTGTGCTCTTTCCAGATTTTTCCTTTTCTTTTCTTTTTTTTTTTTTGTGGTTGACTTACAGTTTCATAGTGTTGTTTTCAGAAAAGATGCATGGTAGAACTTCGATCTTCTTGAATTCGTTGAGACTAGTTTTGTGGCCTAATATGTGATCTATTCTGGAGAATGTTCTATGTGCACTTGAAAAGAATGTGTATTCTGCTGTTTTAGGATGGAATGTTCTGAATGCATCAGTTAAGTCCATTTGGTCCAGTGTGTCATACAAAGCCACTATTTCCTTTTTGATTTTCTGTTGGGATGATCTATCCATTGATGTAAGTGCAATGTTAAAGTCCCCTACTCTTATTGTATTACCATCAATTAATTCCTTTATGTTTGTTATTAACTGTTTTATGTATTTGGGTGCTCCCATGTCGGTGCATAAATATTTACAATTGTATCTTCTTTTTGGACTGTTCCTTTTATGATTATGTAGTGTCCTTCTCTGTCTCTTGTTATAGTATTTGTTTTAAAGTCTATTTTGTCCAATATAATTATTGCTACCCTGGCTTTCTTTTGACACCATTTGTGTGATAAATGTTTCTATATTCCCTCACTTTCAATCTTCAGGTATCTTTAGGTCTGAAATGAGTCTCTTATAAGCAGCATATAGATAGGTCTTGGGTTTTTGGGGGTTTTTTTCGTGTTATTTTTTAAAGATTTTATTTATTTATTAGAGAATAAGCAGGGGGAGCAGCAGAGGGAGAGGGAGAAGTAGACTCCCCCCTGAGCAGGGAGCCCAACGTGGGGTTTGATCCCAGGACCCTGAGATTATGACCTGAGCTGAAGGCAGATGCTTAACTGACTGAGCCACCCAGACACCCCTAGGTCTTGTTTTTTTATCCACTCTATCACCCTGTGTCTTTTGATTGGAGCATTTAGTCCATTACATGCAAAGTAATTATTGATAGGTATGTATTTGTTGCTGTTTTATTTCTTGTTTTGTGGCTGTTTTGGTAGTTTTTCTTCAGATTCTTCTCTTGTTCTCTTTCATTGTTGGCTTTCTTTAGGGATTCATTTGCATTCCTTTCTCTCTATTCTTTGCATATCTATTACTAGTTTTTGATTTGTGGTTACCATTAGGTTTGTATATAACATCTGCATTAAGTAGTCTGTATTAAGTTGAAGCTTGCTTATATTTGAACCCATTCTTTACTCCTCCCCTGCCCATGGTTTAGATGATTGGTGTCATATTTTACATCCTTCTATTTTATGAATTCTTGACTTATTTTTACAGAAATACTTATTTTTACTGCTTTTGTGTTTTTTGTTTTTTTACACTCTCATGGTCTTTCCTTTCTACTTAGAAAGTCCCCTTTAATATTTCTTGTATGGCTGGTTTAGTGGTAATAAACTCCTTTAGTTTTTGTTTGTCAGAGAAACTTTATCTTTTCTTTTATTCTGAATTATAGCCTTGCTGCATAGAGTATTCTTGACTGCAGATTTTTCCCTTTCAGCACTTTGAATGCCACTCTCTCTGGCCTGTGCAGTTTCTGCTGAAAATCCACTGATAGCTTTATGAGGTTTCACTTGTATGAAACTGACTTCTTTTCTCTTGTTGCTTTTACATTTTTTTTCTTTGTAACTACTTTTTGCCCTTTTAATTACCACGTGTCTTTGTGTGTACCTCCTTACGTTGATATTTTGGGGGGATCTTTGTGCATCCTGGATCTGGATATCTGTTTCTCCTGATTCAGAATTTTTCAGCTATTATTTCTTTGAGTAAATTCTCTGTCCCCTTTTTTCTCTCTTCTTCTAGGATCCCTATAATGCAAATGTTACTATGTTTGATGGAGTCACTGAGTTCCCTAAGACTATTCTTAATTTGCATAATTTTTCCTCTCATTTGCTCAGCTTGATCATTTTCCATTACTTTGTCTTTTAGGTCACTAATTCATTCCTCTGCTTCCTCTAGCTTGCTATTTATTCCCTCAAGTGTATTTTTAACTTCATTTATTGTGTCCTTCATCTCTAATTGGTTCTTTTTTATCTATTTGTTAAGGGTCTCACTGATGTCCTCTACTCTTACTCTTTTCTCAATTCCAGTGAGTATCTTTATGATTGTTACTTTAAATTCTCTATCAGGCATATTACTTATATCCATTTCACTTAGGTCTTTTGCTGTGGTTTGATCCTCTTCCTTCTTTTGGGACATATTCCTCTGTCTCCTCATTTTGTCTAACTCCCTGTGTCTGTTTCTTTGTGTTAGGAAAGTCAGCTACTTCACTGTGCAAAATGTTTTTATTTTGGTGTAGTCCCAATAGTTTAATTTTGCTTTTGTTTCCCCTGACATATCTAGAAAAATGTTTCTCTAGCTAATGTCAAAGAAATTACTGCCTGTTTTCTTCTATGAGTTTTATGTTTTCAGGTCTTACATTTAGGTTTTTAATCCATCTTGAGTTTATTTTCGTGTATGGTATAAGAAACTGGTCCAGTTTCATTCTTCTGCATGTAGCTGTCTAGTTTTCCCAGCATCATTTGTTGAAGAGACTATCTTTTCTCCATTGTATATTCTTACCTCCTTTGTCATACAGTAATTGGACCATATAACTGTGGATTTATTTCTGGGCTCTCTATTCTGTTCCATTGATCTATGTGTTTATTTTTGTATCAGTATCATACTGTTTTGATTACTACAGTAATCTTGTGGTATATCTTGAAAATCTGGGAGTGTGATACCTCCAGCTTTGTTCTTGTTTCTTAAGATAGTTTTGGCTACTC